GCCTCCGAAGTGCTTGGATTACAGGGATAAGCTGATATGATCATCCTTAGGTGATTTTAATGTTCTCCGTCTGACTGCCTTGCCCACCATGAGAAAAACAAAGTAGGCTGGTGTGAGGAAGTAATTGTATACTGTCATTAAAATTGCCACATTAACTCAAAACCTGCCCCACTTGGCAAGGGTGTGCCTATCTCTGTGCTTAGAAAACTAAGCTTCTGAAAGCGAGTATATATCAAGGACTTTGATTCATCTTTACCTTCAGGAAGAGTGATTTCCCTGGAATGAGGGGGCTTTCTGCTTCCTATTGTTTTGCTTTGGGTTTGAGTTGAGAGGTATTGACCCAGAACTTGTTTGGAAGAAAGCTTCAGATATGACAGAGTGGAGATGCTGCTGTTGTCCTGGTGACACTTTCCAGAGCATCTCAGAACAGCGAGGGAAAGAAAATCTTCTCTAAGCTGCCTGGGGCTTCTTATGAAGGAGTTGACAGGAAGGGCTGTAAGTACACATGGTCATCCTAGCTTTCTGTCTGGAGACTACAACAAAAAAAGCTCACATGAAATAAAAGGGAAAGCAAGGTTTAGTGCTAGAAGCCAAGGATGGTTGTTCCTAGACAATGCTTAAATGGCCTCTTATATTTTATGGATAGCTGACCATATGGACACTTAATTTTCTCAAATGTGTGTGCTTTAGAGAACACTGATAATGTCATTTATTTACATATTTACTATAAATAAGAGCACATTTGCCTGCATGTATGTGCACCACATGTGTGCCTGGTGCTTGAAGAGACCCGAAGAGGGCACCAGACTCCAGGCAACCAGAGTTACAGAAGGCTGTGAGCTAGTAACTGAACCTGGGTCTTCTGTAAGAGCTGCAAATACTCTTAATCCCAAGCCATCTCTCCAGTCCTCCCTCTCCCAATGTTTTTCTTTTGCAAAGTTCATGTTTGTAAATTGAAATAGATCCATGAAGGCGGATCAAGACAGCAAGCAAGAGCCTGGATGTAAGAGCGGAGTCTGGAAGAACCAGCATTGGGGTTGAGAAAAAGACCCTAAAGGAGACTGAGGACACTTTAAACCCTGAAGGGCTCCTGGCCTGGGAATAATGACTTATGACTTTACACATTTTCAGACTAAAGACCAGCACCAGCGGGTAGAAGTTACAAGGAAGAAAAAGTGTTCTTAGAAACATCTCAGAGAAAATGATCCAGCAAGCAAGGGCAGTCAAAAAGTGGAATCGACTGCCAGCATGTAGCAATGAACCACTTTGGAAGGTTTTTGTTTTGACAACTTATTTATTGCTTTATGAGTTTGTATATACACACCATGTGTGTGCATGTGCCCTTGGAGGCCAGAAGAGGGCGCTGAATCTTCAGGAACTAGAGTTACTGGTGGTTGTGAGCTGTCTGATGAAGAGATGAGAACCAAGCCTGGCTTCTTAGAACCAAACTTAGGTCCTTTGGAGGAGCAGCAAGTGCTCTTAACTGCGGAGCTCTCTTCCGAGCACCACCCTTAAGTGTTTAAACTGAGGTAAGGTGGCTTCCTGTTTAATTTCCTAAAATTAATTTTTAAAAAAGTTTGTGTATGTGTTTCTGTACAGATGTGTGAGGCCAGAAAGTGACATAAACTGCCTTCCTCCACCACTCTCCACTTTATTGTTGAGACAGGGTTTCTCACTGAACCTGGTGCTTACTGATTTTACTAGACTGTCTGGTTACTGAGCCCGGGGGATCCCAGGGGATCCTTCTGTCTCTGCCTCCTCAGCACTGCGATAACAGGTTCACACTGCCACACATGGCTTTTTATGCAGACACTGGGGATCAAACTCATCTTCATGCTTGTGTGGTCAGCACTTTACCAGCTAGCTGGGCGATCTCCTGTCCTCTTACAGAGTACTTTCGGGGATTTGGTCAGGTGAAGTTAGAAACGCACAAAAAAGAACATAACTACACAAGGCACCTAAAAACAAACTTATTCTTCCTCTCAAAATGGTTCAAGGACATCAAGCAGAAAAAAAGCTGAGGCAGGGATTTTGGCAAAGTATTTGTACCCTACCCATCATAGAGGGTAACAGTGCTCACTGACACGGCTGTTAGGAACAGTAAAAGCGTTACAACCACACATGGGGCAGGGCTTACACAGCAACAGTGTTAGCAACAGACTCCGGGAGTATTTCTGGGCAGAGGTGTTGGTGAATACACTATTAGTGAATACCACAGTTAAACAGATGGATCTCCAAGCCAAAGACCGGACCATTCTAGAGTTCTAGAACAGAGCTGGAGGTGTAGCTTGGTGGTGCAGTGTTTGCCTAGCAGGCACAAGGTCTGGGTTCAATTCCCACAACACACACACACACACACTCATACACACACACACACTTCTAGAATGTAGTAGAATTTGATGTCTGCTTTTTTACAGGATACAGCATTGTTCTTTTCCAACATTAACAGATTAACCACACAAAGTTTAGTCACAGGAGAGCTGAAGTGTTTGTGTGTGTTATAGAGAAAGTCATTAACGTCATGAAACTTTTTTTTTTTTTTTGCATTTTTCTAATTTTCCTTTTACCTGTCTTCTGAAGCAGTTGGGCGAGTAGCTGTTTCAAACGGCGTGTGCACCTGATTTGAGTAAAAGGTGTTTGACAGGAGGTCGGCCCCTTCAAGCTCCCTGCAGCAGCAGGGCCTGCCGTGGATTACCTCCATGCTTCTTGCCTAGATGCAGGCAGCCTGGAGAGTAAATAGATAAATGAAAGATGAAGGCGCATCTGGTTTTGGAAACTGTCTTGGTTAGTATTACTATGACTTTGCCTTAGGTAGGAAAGGAAACATTTTCTGCTGCCAGAATTCAACTCATCAATGCATAAAAATCAGAGGCTACTTTCTTACTGCTCTGAGGGTCCGTGGACCCTGCCAAACCTGTAACAAGCAGCAACTTCTGTAATAAAAGTACACTTCTGTGGGAACCACTTCAGCTGAAGCAAACCCGAGGAGTTGAAACGAACTCCTGGAGAACCTGTAACGAACAAGCCCCCTTCTGCAATTACGTCTTGCCTCCAATTTAACACTAGTCAAGAACAATCAGCTGGCTTCAAGAAGCAGGGAGACTGACTCACTAACAGGTCAAGAGCCTTCCTCTCAAGCAGCAGTTCTAAACCTTGTTGGGGTTGAACAACCCTCTCACAGGGGTCACCTAAGACCATCAGAAAACAGATGTTTACATTGCGATTCATAGCAGTAGCAAAATTACAGGTATGAAGCAGCAACAAAAACACTGTTATGGTCGGGGTCACCACAACATGAGGGGCTGTGTTAAAGGGTCGCAGCATTAGGAAGGTTGAGAACCACTGCTCTAAAGGTATTAGGATTTTGGACAAGGGCTCTTTCGTAGACAGCTAAACTAGGTGGTCCGGCACCTCTGGCCCCAGTTGGGGACACTGGGTTCCCCACAGCCCTGGAGAGACGCCCTCTGGTGGGAGGACTCGGAGACCGCAGGGCCGTCGCGCCCGCCCACGGCCACCAGGGGTCGCACGCACCTGGCACATCTGCCCGGGAGCTCCGCCCGACCGCGCCTCCCCTTCTTGTCACAGGAGCTGGCGGGTCTCCGCGGGGCGTGAAATTTCGCGGTCTTCCGCACCTGCGGGCCCCGGGAGCGTGCGGGCAGGTGCGGGGGAGGAAGGCCGGAGGGACACGAGCTGGCCGGGGGTGGGGTTGAGGCTGCCTGTGACGGCGACGGTGACCGCGCACTTAGGTAACACATCCTGAGGGTGGGGCACCCGGTGGCGGGCCCAGAGCGCAGGCCGATGAGCCGCGGGAAGCTCACTCAGGTTGTTTAGGGAGACCCTCAGGAGATCCCGGGCCACCAAGGATTGGGAGCGGGGCCGGAAGTGCGGCGAGAGGGCTTTGCGGCGAGGGAGAAGGTGGGACAAGGGCTTTTCCGCCCTCGACCCCACCCTCCGCCCCGGGGGTCCTAGCCTTCAAGCCCAGGCCCCGCCCCCAGCCTCAGGCCCTGCCCCTAAGCCTCAGGCCCCTCCCCAAGCCTCAGGCCCCGCCCCTAAGCCTCAGGCCCCGCCCCCAACCTCAGGTCCCGCCCCAGGCTCAGGCCCCTCCCCAAGTCTCAGGCCCCGCCCCAGCTTCAGGCCCCGCCCCAGCCCCTCCCTCTCTGCTGTGGCTGGGGCCTCGCACCCTCTGGTCCCCACACGGCCCTGCGCATCGCCCTTTACGGGCTTCAGCCAGGTCCCTCCCTACACGCCTGTCTCGTCACCGCCCCTGGGCCTTGCCTCCTTCAGGCCTCATCCTCTCCTCCCCTCTGCTTCCAAGGCCCCGCCTCTCCCATCCCCCGCCTCCTACGGGCACCAACCCGACCCTAGGCCCCGCCCCGCCCCGTCTCCCTCATGCCGGGCCTTAGGCTGACTCCAGGCGCCCTCTGGTGGCGCCTGCCTGGCAATCCTCCTTTCCTTCCTGGACCCTGGGCTATGGTTGCCCTAGTGCTGAGTATGCTTTCTCAAGGTCTGAGTTGAGCAAAAAAGCTCTGGCCCTGGGGGAGGAGAGCCGGAAGGTCTTGGTGTAAGAAACATTGCTATAGTCCGTTTGCAGTATGAGGTGCGCTTTAAGTTCGTCAGAGTGACAGAGGTACCCCTTCTCCTGGCTGGCGCTTCCCCCAGCCTGTCTCACAGCTGAAGAAGAATTGGAGAGCTCCTGGTAGCCTGCTGAGCACTAGATCAGAGAATGGGGCAGGCAGTCTCATGGCCCAAGTTATGGATAAAGCTCTTGTCCTAGACCAATAGGATGGGGAATTTGGGAAGGGGGCAAGTTCTGCCGGATGGAAGAGTGGATGGAATTTCTCGACATCAGAGGAATTTAAAAACCGTTGTCTTGCTTCAAATTAGTACGCCAGCCGTACTAATTTGTGTTTGGCTTTTCTCAGTGCTGGCGTTACTTTCCCAGAACTGAGTATTAAAAAGTCCTTTGTTTTCACTAGTCTTTTGAATTTATTTCCAGCGCTGCTGAGCTCCAAGGTGGGGTCCGTGGGATTCTACAAGCTCATTTTGAGCCTCTTCTCTTTCCTTGACCTTGGGACAGATGTAATTGTGGAGTGTGGAAACAGTTTATCTGTCTGTCCCAAAGGCCTGGTCCCTCCTGCATTTCCTCAGTTCTGGCTGCAACCTTGACAGAAACTAATAAAACAAACAAACAACAAAACTGGAGAGGTGTGCACTCCTGTAATCCCGGCACGTAGAAGATGGACCACGAGTCTCAGAAAGTTCAAGGTCATCCTCAGCTGCAGTGACGCTGAAGCTGACCTGGACTACATTAATAAGACCCTGTGCAAAGAAAGAGAAGGGCGAGGTCAGAATAAAGATGCCAACCAGACTTCAGTTTCTGAGTTTGTGCCGTTGAAGAACAACCTGAAAGAAACTAGACGCTGGAAGATACCATTTGGGCAGTGGGAACGAAAAATGAGGCAAGAATGAATTCCTCTGAGGCTGTAAGCAAGCCCCCAATTAAATGCTTTCTTTCTTAAGCTGCCTTGGTCACGGTGTCTCTTCACAACAATAGAACGGTAGTGTGTGGCCACCCCTGAGCCTGAAGACTAGACCCTGCTGGCGAAGGAAAGGCGGCTTTGACAGGTACCCATCGCTTTGGTTTTCCAGTTTCTGATTGAAGTCCATCCTAATCTTTTGGCATTTTGAGGCTCCTCTGTGTAGGACCTCCCATGTAACTCCCCGTCTGACCAGCTCATTCTGCGTCCCCATCTGGATTACTCTTCTCCATTGCTGTGACAAAATGCCTGCTGGTTTCAGAGGGAAGCTTGCTCCAGGTGAAGACAGTGGCTGGATGCTCTGTTGGAGGTGGCGAGAGCTTATGGGCAGCTTGTTCACATCTCTGGTGGATCAGCCAGCAAAGAACAGGACCCAGCGCAGGCCTGAGTTATCAACCTTCAAGGCCTGCCCTCCATGGTCTACATCTGCCAGCTAGGCCCCATGTCCCAAAGGTTGCAGAATGTCCCCAAACAGTGCCTCCAGCTGAGGATCAAACATTGAGAAACATGGCCTGTTGAGGGTCATTGCACATTTACATCCTAACTCCATCCTTCTAGTACTTTCTATACTAAGTTTCTCTGTGTTGGGCTTTGGTCCCGTTTAGTCATGGCTTGAGTGTTTGTGGGAAGAAACTGAGCCTGATAGTTGAGTGAGATATAGTTGATGAAGATTCACCGTTGGTCTGTGTCTGTGGACGGTGAAAACAGTAGGGAGGCTGTGGCAACTCTAGGTTGAATGTATGTTAAACATAATTTTAAAAGGGGAAAATAATGTATAGTTGGTTCATGAAAGGAAGCTGGCCTATCATTGCCTGGGAGAACATTAGAAAGAATCTGTCAGGGTCTTCAATGGAAGGAGAAACTTCTCTTTAAAAGCTGGAGGGTGTTAGTTTTTCGGCTGTGTTGTGTTCTTACCCTGCAAGGAAATGCCACGAAACACGACAGAATCCGCTAACAAGAGTTTTATTAAAGGTAAAGGGACAGAGAGTGAACAGGCCTGCGGGAAACACGTGTGTGGAGAAGAAGGAGGAAGAAGAAGAAGGAACCAGGAACATGGCGCCGGATTTTAAAGGCTGGGCGTGGACAGATCAGCGTCACTACTACACGCAAGCGCATAGATCACATGGCCACGTTGCGCGCCTACGTGGCTAGTGGAACGTCACGGATCTTGGTCACGCGAGATGCCCTGACCCGGAAATGGCTATCCTGACCTGGACCTGGCTAGGCGGAAATGTCTGCCAGGCATATGCAAACACGCCTGACCGTGGGGGCTTGTTGTAAACCTTTCATAGGGAAGCCTCACTAGTGAGAACAAAAGACAGGAGGTAAGGAAGCAGCCGGAAGAGGACTGTGTGGGTGTGAGGGACAGGCACACACCAGAGCAGCCTCGAGAGAAATCCCCAGCGAAGGAGATACCCAACTTCTACAACCTTTCAGGGTAGCTGGATGTTTTATATCATGTGACTTAGTTCAACACCACACACGTGACAGTGAGCACGGGATAGCCAGATACGGGTTACGACCATAAATTATGAGCTGTAAAAACACAACACAGGACGACAGCTCTTCACTCTCTGTTCAGGGATGGAATAGCAGGGGGTCATGATCTGACCCACCACCACCCTCACACCCCCACCCCCTCACTCTCTCACTCCCCCACTTCCTCACTCCCTCACTCCCCCACCCCCCACCCCCGGCAGAGAGATAGCCCTTTTAAGAGCAACCACTGTCTTAAAGGGGCAGGCAGGCCTCTAGCAATATGGCCATAACCTCCAGGCTGTAGTGTATTTAAATTTTATTTTAATTCAAGTGAGTGTAAAGGGTAGAGAAATGTAATTATTTTTACCATTGAGTTTTTCAGCTAAAATGTAGAGGAGAGCAACACAGTCTTATCTTTTCAAAACAGCTGTTGTTTGGAAATGCCTCTCCTCTGCAAGCTCTCACAGACAATGTCAGGATTCAGTCTACATGTTTGACCAGCACACTTGATCCCCAGTGCTTGGAGTTGAACTCATGTGCTTCAGCCAACAGGTAATGTGTGTGTGTGTGACCTATACAACACAGGTGACCTGCTCATGGATGTATGTCCTTGACACCCTCACATCACCTTTCTACGTCGGCCAGTTTGATCCTTGCTAATTTCCCTATCCTGGTAGTTCTTCACACATGGAAGGTAAAACTTAGGAATGAAAAGAAATATGCCTAGAATATTGTATCTGGGTTGGCAAAAATTCCAGATCACAATGAGACCATTTATCTTCACTTAAAGAATTTGCAGGACATATATAATAATTTAAAGATTGAATTATAGTCTATAACCTTTCTTTTAAATCTTATAGAGACCTTTAACAAAGTGGCATTTGAGAAATGAATTAAGTTTTTGAGGGAACTTCTTGGCAGGTAAGAATATTTCTTAAATGAAGAAAAACTGGATCTTATTCCTTGCCTAGAAGATGGAAAGTCCCTGTCAGTGCTTTTTAAAAATTTACATTTAAAAACATGAAATTTCATACCTGGCTGGTCTCAGGGTGTGTATCTACTCACCAGGAAGACAACTAGTGCGCATGCACGTTCTGCTTTGAAAATCACGCTGGCAGCGGGTTAAATGACTTTCCCCTCTGTTTGCTAGTCACTGAATTTTCGTTATCCTCACCTCCATCCCCCTCTCTCATCCACTCCGTGCTTCTCCCCACCAAGCCTTTCTCCTGCTTTCACATCCTCTTTCTGTGTGTGACCCACTGAGTTTAATTAGAACTGTCTGCATGATCGTGACCCGGAGGTTATTTACTGGAGCATGGGCAACTCGTCAGTGCCCAGACCACTGAAGAAAGTGGCATCCCCTCTCCCAGCAACCGCCCACTGCCAGCAGTCTCTCGGGGAGTAGTGTGGCCTCATGGGCCCCTTTGAATGACTTAATAATTGTTTTCTCTTGAGTAGTTGTCTTAGCCCGTTTTCTGTTATTGTATCTGAATATAACAGACCGGCTAGCTTCTGTTTATTTGTTCATTTAGTTTTGAGACATGGTCTCTCTTTACAGTTTTGGCTGTCCTGGAGCTCTCCATGTAGAGCAGACTGACCTCAGACTCACAGAGATGCACCTGCCTCTGCTTTCTGAGTGCTGGGATTAAAGGGGTGCCACTATGCCCAGCTGACTGGCTAATATTTGAAGAATAGAAAGAACCCAATTTAGATTTCGTATGTAAGAGATCATGCAATATTTTTTTCTGTGTCTGGCTGGTTTTATTTACCACAGTATCTTTGATGCTTATCCATATTTTGATTTGTAAGAAGATCTCTCTCTCTTTTTTTTAGGAATGAGTAATTTTTTAGGAATGATTTTTTTTAGGAATGAGTATATAAATATATATGTACATATGCACACACACAATACAATATATATATCCCACATTCACACATAACACAAGCCATGCATATATTTATATCGATAATATAAGTTAATCAACTGCGATATATACAATTCAATATATATATTGTATATGTAGAATATATGCAGTGAACATAGGAATATAGATATCCTTAAGGGATGGTGATTTCATTTACTTTGAATAATGCCCAGAGATGGATTGCTGGGTCACAGGGCAGCTGTACTTCTTCAGAAATCTCCATCCTGTTTAACAGACTGGCTATAGCGTTCTACATCCCCCCATAGCATACACATGTTCACTTTTCCCCACACCTGTGCCGGCCTGTATTCTCTTTCATTTTTTGGTGAAAGCCATCTTAACAGCAGTGAGGTGGTATCTCTGAGTTGTTTTGATTTGTATCTACTGGATAATTAATGTTGTTGGGTACCTTTTTATATTGCCATTGGCTATTTTTTGTAGCATCTTTGAAGTCATGCTTCTTCAAATATTTGCTTGCTTGTGTGTGTTTGTGTGTGTCAGATGTATGTGTGTGATGTATGTACATGTGTATGTGTGTGTAGTATATATGTATTTGTGAGTGTGGTATATGTGTGTATGGTATATGCACACATGTGTGGTATATGTGGCATATGTGTATGTGTGTGTTGTATGTGTGTGTGGTATGTGCATGTGTGTATGGGTTTCTTGCACTTATGTGTGAGTGCTCCCAGAGGGAAGATGAGGACATCAGGTTAATCTACCTTAATTCTTTGAGACAGAGTGTCTGGCTGGACTGGGAGCTAGGCTGTCTCTACCCACCCACAGCACCTTACAGGCATAATATGTTCTGACACCAACTTCCTACTTGGGTGCTGGGATCAGAACTTGATCAGCAAGCACTTTTTTTTTTTTTTTTTTGGTTTTTCGAGATAAGGTTTCTCTGTGTAGCTTTGTGCCTTTCCTGGATCTCACTCTGTAGACCAGGCTGTCCTCGAACTCACAGAGAGCCGCCTGGTGCCTGGCTCTGCCTCCCGAGTGCTGGGATTAAAGGCGTGCGCCACCATCGCCCGGCACCAGCAAGCACTCTTACCTACTGAGTCGTCTCTGCAGCTCCTCTCTCCCCACTTTTTAATCAGATTTTATACAAATAAAAAAAAATCAATCTCAAAATTAAATATGGAATCCTAAAGACTCCTAAAAGCTAAAGTAATCCTGAGAACAAAAGAGCTGTGAACATCACACTCCTTGACTTATGACTTAGCATTATGTCACGGAGCTGTAGACTGGAAACGGTAAGCACCGGCACTGTAATAGACACGTACTGGTGGAATGAAATAGGGAACCAGAGACAGATCCAAAGTATGTGGTCAATTGATCATTACCAGGGCATCAAGGGGACACAGGGGGTATGTGGGGCCTGCAAACTATGGTGGCCCCATTGTTCCCTGGTTGGGGTCCTGGCTATATAGTGGAGAAAGGGAAGTGAGAAGTAGCGTGCATTCCCCTCCCTGCTTCCGACTGTGAATGCAATGCAACCAGCTATTTCAAGCTCTTGCTGCCTTGATTTCTCTGCCAAAATGGACCGTATCCTTAAACTGTGTCTTAGTTACTTTTCTGTTGTTTTGAAGAAATACCATGGCCAAGGCGACTTAAAGGAGAAAGGGTTTAGAAGGGAATTACAGTTCCAGAGGGTGAGAGTCTGTGACCAACATGGCAGGGACAGCAGGCAGGCAGGCAGGCAGGCGTGACACTGGAGCAGTAGCTGAGAGCTTATATCTGATCTACAAGCTGCAAGGAGAGAGAGAGAGAGAGAGAGACAGAGAGAGAGACAGAGAGACAGAGAGAGAGACAGAGAGACACACAGAGACACACAGAGACACAGAGAGAGAGAATGCACTAACTGAGAATGGCATGGACTTTTGAAACCTGAGAGTTCATATGTCTTCCAAGAAGGTCACACCTCTTAATCCTTCCCAAACAGTTCTACCAGTGTGTGTGTGTGGGGGAGATGATGAGCCTAAGCTAGGCCAAGCATTCATAACTAATAAGAAGTCTCTGTGTCATGATTTGGGAGCTGGTTGGTGGCCCAAAAGAGAAAGCCTGATACAAAATACTATCTTTCTCTTCTTTTGAAAAATATTTATTTATTTAGTGCGTGCATGCGTGTGTGTGTGTGTGTGTGTGTGTGTGTGTGTGTGTGTGTGTGTGTGCATGTGTGCATGCATATGTGTCATGGTGTTCATGTGGAGGGCAAAGATTAGCATACAGGACTTGGTTCTCTCCTTCCACTATGTGAATCCCAGGGGGCAAACTCCGGCTGCCAGGCTTGATAGTAGCTACTTTTACCCGACAGGCCCTCTCCTTGTTGCTATTAGCATAAATTAACCATACAAAATAATGGGCCTGGTGATGACATTCTCAAATGCATGCATACTTTGAGCATGTCCCTGCACCACCTTTCTATGCTTGGTGGTAGTCTAAAGGCCCTGCATTCACAAGCGGACTGCCACCCTGTCCCTCTCCGAGCTTTGCCATGCCACTGCTCTGTGTTTATTAGTGAGTGTGGGGCACAGACCTGGGAAGTGGCGGGAGAAGAATTAAGTTAAGGAAAAGCTCTTGAGAGCTGAAGTGATTTAGGGTGGTGAGTAGAGCCACACAAGGTAAAAGCTGTATGAGGTTTGACTGGCAAGTGAGAGCCTCATGCATCAGAGAAGTCACCGACTTCAGTGATGGGTAGTTTTTGACTACCGGCCAAGTCCCATCTCTCCACCAGCCTGCCAACATCGCCCTCTCGCTGCCCAGTGATGTAGGACATGGCCAAGATTGACAAGGAAGGGAAGAGAAAGGGGCAGTAGTGAAAATGTCACCCGCTCAGACGGAAATTCAAATGGGTAATTTACCTTGACAAGTTTTAGTTCAGAAGAGAGAGAACATGAAGAGGTTGGACTTGGTAATCAAAGTAATGCGTTAGTTACTAAAACGCAAATGGCTTCATTGGGAGGGAAACAAATGTTAATTAGGTCACCAAGATACATTAAGAAGAAACTAAGAACGTGTTTACCACATTAGAGCTATTGTTAGCTTGTGGTAAAGAAAGTTCATATAACAATGACTCCAGTATTAACAGCTGAGCATTCATAGCTTTGAATTCAGAGACAATCCAGTTCTACCATCTTCGCCTTGTATTGCAGATTTTTTTTCTTGTTTGTTTGTTTTTTTTGAGACAGGGTTTCTCTTTGCAGCCCTGACTGTCCTGGAATTTACTCTGTAGACCAGGCTGGCCTCAAACTCAAAGAGATCCACCTGCCTCTGCCTCGTGAGTGCTGGGATCAGAGGCTACCATAGTCTAGCACATTGCAGCTATTTTAACATAGAAAAGAACCTTGCTTGTGCTCAGGGGAGTGCTAGCTTGTTTCAAGCACCCTGGCTTTTCTGCAGGATATGCTAGACTCAAAAGATGTTTACTTTCACCTCCTGTGAGCTGTTGAATGGAGGGACCATCTATAGTTTAAAGTTTAAAAACCCTTAAGGCTGTCAGCTGAGCCTTATGTGTGCAGTGTGCTATACAGCACACAGAAAGACCTAAAGACCTTTTGTTGTAGTGGAGCCTGTCCTTTTAGCCTCAGAATTTAAAGCTGGTAACATACAAATGTGAAATATTTTCTGCCCCCCAGTGGTTAAAAGTAATTTTGCAATGTTGGCTCCACTTTATGTTTTAAATTACAAAGGGAAAAGACACAATTATTTTTGAAAGTGTGAAAATTATGTGATGCTTTACCATAGCTAATTACTTTTATTACATATTTTACAAAAGAGGAACAATAAATTCTGCTTTATTAACCACAATATACCAGTGCCTAGAAATCTGGGCAAGAAGTAAAATCAATTTTGTGATATTTTTCCTTCAGGATTAAAATAATATTTTTCTATCTCCACAAAGAGAATGTTAATTTGACATCAATCTAGTTAAAATTTACTTCCATTCCTGATTCTAATAGTGATTTTCCTGTTTGGCTCCTTTCATATTTTAGTTCCTAGATTGAGGATGAGGATATGGGTAATAATTCTTGTTATTTCCTTAGCTGCATTTAGGGTTACATGCATCCCATTCATTTTGTGTTGTGAGAGGAAAATGCCGTGATGCGTTCTCTAAGGACCTTTTCATTAGTTTATCTTCAGACATATTTTGGGCTAGTTGCTAATGTGGATTCTCAGATGTCAAGTGCAAAGTTGTTCCTTTTAATTGACTTTAATAGAAAACAGATGGGGAGTAACATAATGAGCTATTGGGAAGAATGTGAGTGAGTTCTCAAGTTCAAGGGACAGTGTTGCAAAACAGCACACAGGCAATCACGGCTTTTCATCTCTTAAGAGAATTAAACTAATCAGACGCCCCCTTTTCATAACCGTTCTGAAATGTCTCCTCATATCCGACTGCTCACAGAAAGCTGTCCTCTCCAGGTGTTTCCAGGCCATCAATGAACTTGGGCCCCAGGTCAGTCCAGCATGTCAAGAGCCATGGGTGAATGAAAGGGGAGAAGACAATGATTGGGAGCAGAGCCTCCTCTGAGACATGCTTAAAGATAGTGTAGAAGAAAACTGTCTAGGTGAAAAGTTTAACATTTCTGGATGATGGAAGGCAATAGAGTCCAGACCTCTCGAAAACCATCAGCTTTGTTGTTTTCATGGGATTTTTGTTGGTTTTTTGGTTTTTTTGCATATGCTTACATTGTATCAGCATGCATATAAAGAATAGAATCAGACTCCAGAAAAAGATTAGTGAAATGTACTTAATCTGTTGAGTTGTAAACTTATGGGAAGTTAAGATGATAAATATTATATTATATGGATTTATTTCAAAAGGCAACAAAATGCCCCCAATTTAAAGATAACAGTGAATGACGTATGCATCATCTGATAAACATTCCAGACACTGAGTCCATTAATAAATGGAAGTTTACATAGACTGGGAATAGTGAAGAGGGACTGATGCTCTCTGGGTAATGTTTCCTAACTGAATCCTACTGAACACAGAGCTACAGCCGGCTGTCTACGGGACAGTGTGGAGGCGTCTACTACACTTCCTGCTGGTGGGGCAGGGCACGCGGCTGGTTTATTTGAATTGCTTTAATGTCTCGTTCCATTTCCTGAATAAGATCTGTAGCAGACTGCAAATCACCCGAGGAGCATGAGACCTCTGTAGGAAGAATGCACCTCTGGCCACCGCTCCCCGATCCCACCTGTCAATCAGTCTCTGCTCCCCGATCCCACCTGTCAGTCACTGTTCCCCAATTCCATCTGTCAGTCACTGCTCCCTGATCCCACCTGTCAGTCACTGCTCCCCAGTTTCACCTGTCAGTCACTGCTCCCCAGTTTCACCTGTCAGTCACTGCTCCCCAGTTCCACCTGTCAGTCACTGCTCCCCAGTTCCACCTGTCAGTCTCTGCTCCCCAGTTCCACCTGTCAGTCAGTCACTGCTCCCCAGTTCCACCTGTCAGTCTCTGCTCCCCAGTTCCACCTGTCAGTCACCGCTCCCCGGTTGCACCTGTCAGTCAGTCACTGCTCCCCAGTTGCACCTGTCAGTCAGTCACTGCTCCCCAGTTCCACCTGTCAATCATCACTGAGATTTCCTGTACCTCTCTGGGAAGTTGGACTTCATCAACAAGAGCTCTTTGGGAGCTAGGGAGATAGCTTAGCTGGCAAAGTGCTTGCCTTGCAGGACCTGAGTTTTATGGTGACCCACTTGTCATCGTGGTGCTGAGGATGGAGAAACAGGTGGATCACTGGGACTTAACCTATGTGATGAGTTTCTTAAGAAAGAAAAGAGAAAAGAAAAAACAAACAAGAAACAGCACCTGAGGCCTTTACATGTATATGTGCATGTACGCATGCATGCATACCTGTACATGCACACATGTGAGTGAGTGAGTACAGATAGACATGTACCCCCAAACACTTGGTCTGCTGGAGAGGAAAAAAGTACTATTTGCTCTTTCATGGCCTAAGATGGCAGTGGTACCCTCTTGCTCCTGTGTTGCTGCACCCCCTGCCTCTTGTTCCTGATGAGGTGGGTACTCCTTTCCTGCTCTACAGTTAGATGCCTCAGGGAAGAGATAAAGCAGTGCTTTCCCAGAATTCATAGTCCATCCCCTCCCTTCCTCCCTCCTCCTCCGCTCCTTCTTTTCCTTCCTCTCTCTCACCTCTTCCTCCCTTCTACATCTGTGTGTGGTGTTTTAAAACAGTAAGGATAGGGTTGGAGAGATGGCTCAGCAGTTAACACTGGCTGAGCTCCCAGAGGTCCTGAGTTCAGTTCTCAGCAACCACATGGTGGCTCACAACCATCTGTAATGAGATCTGGTGCCCTCTTCTGGCCTGCAGGCATACATGCAGGTGGAACACTGTACATAATAAATAAATTAAAAAACAAAAAACAAACCAACACATGACTAAGGATTTAGTCCTGGGCTCCTGTATTTGTTTTCATTGAACTTAATTCAGCAGATGTTTTCTGCATGCTTAATATGTTAGAGAGCTGGAGGGCATGCTGTGGCATGCTGGTGGACAGGGCAGTGCGTGGAGGAAAGCGTGTGACCTTTAAGGCGGGTCGATATCAGTGGAAGCAATTTGTCGCCTCCTGTTTCGTCAGACAATTCTTTCTAAGGCCCGTTTCCATGTATAGAGATTAGTGTTAACGGAATAGCACTCAGTGTTAGAACAGACATGATCACTATCGCAGTAAATAGTCACAAGTTTTAGGAGGGAACGATTTAATTAAGTGGTTCCTAATAAGGATTATTCGGACCTCCAGGGAACATTTGGCAGCGTCGAGAGACATTTTGGGTTGTCACAGTTGTAGCGTGGTCCCATTGGCACCTAACAGGTGACACTATAGTTAGAAACTACGGGTATGCCCAACAGCCCGTGATGCTCAAATAGTCCCCAGCCCAAACTCAGTGGCTCACTGCTGTCTAGTGAATGAGACAATGAAAATGTGAGACGTGTTTTATACAGCAAGGACGTGAGCTTGTAGAGGTTGCCCATCCACTAGCCACACTCTGGCCTTTTAGTTTCACAGTAACAATGGTTGGGGCCCCATCCCGGAGGGGAAGGACCGCATTGTTTCCTATTAGCAGGAGAGAATTGTAGTTTGCACAGAAGAGGAAATCACTGGGTAGTGCTTGAAGAAAAGTTTCTCTGAAATAGAGAATTCCTTTGCCTTGGCTCTGTTTGTGCTCCTCAGAAAGCAGTAGCTTGCTGAGGCCCAGTGGAGGGAAAGATGGCCAGGGATTGGGTTCCCTATTGACCGTGTGGAGTTCTCACACCGGCTCAGAACTCCTTTTTTTTTTTTTTTTCATACATTTTTATGTCAGAAGAAATAAGTCTTTCTTGGTTACAACAGTATTATTTAGGTTTTCTGTTGCAGGCACCTGTATCCAAATTTGACCCATCTCCAGGAATTTTGATTGGTAGGAAACAGGCTTTCCTGATAAGGAATTTATGTAGACACAGGTACAGAAGCCAGGGTGTTCAGAAAAGAGCATACAGCTTGGTTCACTCATTATGCAGTGTGATAACTTTCTGACTTCTAAAGGAGGGGTACTATGTGATGTCCCAAGCAGATCTTTAAGAAGGAAAAAAAGAACACAGGACACAGACGCCAGTACACTCATCTTCGGGTCTATTCCATTTCCTCAGTCACAGTTAGGTGAGCACTGGCCTTTCATTTCTTTCATGAGAAATTGCCCAGAGTCAGGATACTTTTTCCTTTTTTTTTTTTTTTGTATTTTCCAAGGTCATTGTCATAGCATGATGTATGGAATGTGATGTTGAGACCATGCAGAAATCACTTCCATGAAGATTGTTGCTATATCAGACCAGTCTAATTCCAGCTTTCCCTGAAGGCTCTGCCACTTCCCAGGCTCTGGCTGGGATGTAGGGTGGCACCAATCCAGGTAGGTTCCCTGGGGAAGGGAAGTGCTGGGAGAGAGGGCTGTGTGTGTGTGTGTGTGTGTGTGTGTGTGTGTGTGTGTGTGTGTGTGTGTGAGAGAGAGAGAGAGAGAGAGAGAGAGAGAGAGAGAGAGAGAGAGAGAGAGAGAAGAGAGAGAGGAGAGAGAGAGGAGAGAGAGAAGAGAAGAGAAAGAGAGAGAGAGAGACCTTTCCATGTTTTTTTCTGCTGTAAAAAACCAATGTTTTGAGGAAATCCAGGATGAATCACTTGAGAGTTCGTGATTATTTAGGAATTGTCTTCCCAAACATCAATCATCTATAAACTGAATTGGATGCTCACTTAAAATTATGCCAGAAGAAACCTGTTTCCACGATTCTTTTTGGTATCAAAATCTCTCCTGACAGGGCTGGAGAGATGGTGCAGTGGCTACGAGCCGTTGTTCTTGCAGAAGGTCTGGGTTCCTCTGACCTCCACTGGCCACCAGGGATGCGCATGGCACACATACATCACACAACCAAAATGCTCATGCTTAAAATAAAAAGACCTCAATGAGCCTTCCCCAGAACTCTGAACTCTCCGGGAAAATCTCGGCCTGGCTAAGGCTTCAGAGCAAATACCCTCCTAGCAGCTCTCAGTGGTCTTTCCTAGGAGAAATCCCTCTGTGCTGCAGGATTCTGGTGTGTGTGTGTGTGTGTGTGTGTGTGTGTGTGTGTGTGTGTGTGTGTGTGTGTGTAGGGGATTGTGAGACTTCTGGGTAGCTTCCTGGGACATATAAGCTCCACAATGGCCTTTCCTGTTTTCTCACGACTGGTGTATCTGGTCTTGTCTTTGCACCAAGTTTTTACTGGAAAGGTGACAGGGCCTTTCTTCCTGGCAACAGGAGGGTCCATGGAGAACAAATGAGAATTAGAAGGAAGAAAGCAAGCAGCATCTAGGCCCCCAGGTCAACGACTTAGGCACTGGGAAAGCCTGGTCCGGCTGCCTGAGTAGTTCCCCAGGAGAGGTGGCAGCTTCACACAGACTATACAAGCGTCTCATAGCCTGAGTTCCCTTCACGCTCTGTCCACCCAGACACTCTGGAGAAGGGGACGTGGATTACCATTTTCCCTCCCACCACACTGAGGTGGTGAGGGCAGGCGGACCATTCTCCCTGAGCATCTTCCTGGCCCACAGGTCAGCCAGTGTTGAGGGAGGGAACAGTTTGCCTTGGATATGAGGTTGGTGAGTGCACCCAGACTTGACAGAGTTTTTTAATATCAAGAAGTGACCAAGGAAGTTATGGCGTCTGCCCAGGGTGTCGTTAATGGATCTCTACCCAGCAGGAGTGGGAGAGTTGCAAGGCCCAGCTGAGGCTGATGGGAGAAGAGGAAAATCATTTCCTGTGGGTCCCCCGTGGAGCTGAGGCTGTTCAGGAAGCCTGTTACAGCTGATGAAGGGCTTCATATTCTTAGGACTACGGTTGGATCCCTGTGCATTTGTGCTTGGTTCCAGTGGCCAGATAGTTTTCTATCAAATCAAAGGCTTAACATTTTAAGTGAGTAAAGGGATCCATCAGAGGGGAGTGTCTGAATATAGGAACAAGGACATGACGTGCGTCAGCTCTCGTGGTCTCTCTTTTATCCTGCTAGGATCTCAGGGTTTCCTCAGTCTTGTGAAATTACACAGAGAGGTGTCTGGTTTTAAATTCCAGTCTGTCACAGATTCACTAACAGTGACACAGAGAAGAGAAATCATTTTAAAACATCTTCACAAGTGACTTGTTACCTCGGTCCACTTGTCAATCATCAGCTTTCACCATATTGTCTGTCAGGAGGCCCTTCTATTTAATTTTTTTTTTTTTGTTTTTTGTTTTTTGTTTTTTCGAGACAGGGTTTCTCTGTGTAGCTTTGTGCCTTTCCTGGGACTCACTTGGTAGTCCAGGCTGGCCTCAAACTCACAGAGATCCGCCTGTCTCTGCCTCCCGAGTGCTGGGATTAAAGGCGTGCGCCACCACCGCCCGGCTAATTTTTTTAACAAGTGTAATTGTGCACATGATTTTGTGTGTGTGTGTGTGTGTGTGTGTGTGTGTGTGTGTGTGTATGTGTGTGTAATTAGGAAATTTCATTGTAACATGCAGGAAGAATCTCCATGTAGTACAGAGGTATGTCTTTATACAAACTTTTTGTGATTTTTTCCTTTTTTTTTTTAACAATAAAATTATCTCCGTGTGTGAGAGCA